GGACGCCCGAGATGGAACGATTCATGAGAATCGTTACAACTTGTAGTAAAATGCAGCAACTAATAGTAAAATATAATAACTTATAATGTTAGTTGACCTAGGTTCAATCAAACAAACGTACGCCTAAGGGGCGTACTAAGAGGTGAGCAGGCAAAGATCTTCTTGTTATTAACTACTGCCCTCTCTTTTTATACAAAGAAAGAGGGTTCTTAAGTACACATAGCCCTTAACACATAGGCTAGATAGCTAACGTTTTAGGCAACCTAATTTAGCTGTACATGTGTATAGACGCAGCTATACTTATATATAAACACTAGCAACTTTTTACTTTTATACAGTTACTTACTTATTTATACATTAATTTTACTTTTTTTTTTTTTTTTTTTACTCTCCTACTTTCTTTTTTAGAGCTAACCCTTAGTGCTTCTTTTATTTATAATATCCCCTAGTGTCCGTACGCAGCAGCAGCGTCGCGGCCTGGATACGAGCGATCACGCACGAGCAGGATCACGTATCTATGTCACATGATGCTCGTGCGCGAACCTCCGTGCGCGAACATCTAGATATCCCCCTTTTCCTCCGTACGGAGGAAAAACAAGAAGCAATCAACACTAGTTACCTAACACCCCCGTGCGATGTTTACACCGTGCAAACCTCTCCGTCTCGTACGCATTTGCTGACACCAAGTGCTAGCTAGCAGAGAGTCCATTCAACACCTAGCTTCTTAGCTTATGTATAATTTAACTTGCTTTTAGAATAGTGCCTATGCTTAGCTAGAGTAAGAAAAAGTTCTTACTTAACTACATAAAAAAAGTTATTAAAATTATATGTTATTTATCTTTTAAAGTTATTTTACTTTTATAGTGTATACTTTTTTTTTAGTAGCTTACACATGTCTAAGAGGATATACACTATATATAAAGCTTATTATTTTAGTAGAGGAGAGTCTATATCTATTTTATTATGCAGAAGATCTAAATTTACTTTTTTATGTAACGTACTTCATAGGCGAGTTGCTTACACACCTAAGTTACCTACTTTTGCTAAGACCCTACTACACTACTTTTCTTACACTAATGCATTCCTAACAACACTACTTAAATGTGTTAAAGAAATGTTAGATATAGCTTACACTTTAGGTTTTTAAATAAAACGCAACACTTTTTAACTAATGCGCTGCAGCTATCTATAGGGTTTTTTAAAAGATAATAAGCAACTAACGCGCTAGACAACCTTTCTAAGCTAATTATATAGCTAACTTATAAAAGCTAGACAATAATAAGGAGCAGGTAATTATTTAGCACATACTTAAGCTAGATGCGCAAGGATTTCCCCTCTAGCTAGCAGCTATAGCTAATATAGCTAATTCTTTGCACGCTAAGCATAATATAGGCTATATTAGCATAAACTAGCCTAATATGTTTATTAAGTGTTACCTAGAGCTTAAAGTAAAGTTTAAGTATAAGTATAACTATAAAAGAGCCTTTTATAAAAATCTTACAGTAATTTAAAGCTAGTTTAACCTTATAAAGAATATTAAAGCTAAGTATAGCATCTAGAATAATAACACGTACAACTTTAATAAGATAAAGTTTATAATAGGCTAGATATCTACTAGAGCAGTTATTACAGGTTTAGAGAGATAAGGACAGCTAAAAGCAGTCTAGCTAGGTAACTAGAAGTAGACAATAGCTATCTAGGGCATTAATACTAAAGGGTAGGCTATTTTACTTTTTATTATTTTCTAGGGTAGCAACTACTTTTTAAACTAGTATAAAAAGAAAAATCTACTTTAGAATTAAGTTATTATAATCTCTAAGCGCAGCTAGACTACTAATTAGCTTAGTCTAGACTAGTTAAAGCACTTTAACGCGCATATAAAGAAGTGTACTATTAGCAGCTACTATCTGCTAGTTATTAATAGCTATAAAAGCTACAACTTGCTTTATTTCTAGTAATACTATAAAAATAATAAAATTATTACTATTTACATGCCTTTTTACTTATTACACTTTTTATAGCTACTTAATGTAGGTTGTTTTGCTTCTTTAAAAAAGGTGTATAAGCGCTAAGCTAAAAACCTTATACATAACTTAATTACTTATATTACAAAAATAAAGTTTCTGCTATGCTTTAAAGTAGCTTATAATGCTATAATTATTTCTAGTAATATCTAAGAAGGGTTTTAAAGCGCTAAATTAGTTCTTTTTAACCTATAATAAGTTATAATAGGCCTTAATGTAAAGTTACGCACTCTATTACTACTACTACCTATATATAATAAGCCCTAGCAGTTGTAAACCCTAAGCAATACTCTAAAACTTAGGTTATAATTAATATTTATAAAGATAAGAATTTAAAAGCATATAAATAGTTTACTAACTTTTATAGTTAAAGTGTTTAAGAAGGTTTTAAAGGGGGCAGTAATAATTATACATAAGCTAGTGTTAGCGTAATAAGAAATTACTAAGCTTTAAGTAGCTAATAAAGCTACTACATAACATAAATTACATAAAAGAAAGTAAATTAAGGCAAAAAAAACTTTAATAATTTAGAAAGGCCTATGCTTAACAGCTTTAAAAAAGTTTAAAGCGCGCAGTAACAGAAAAAAGGTAAAGAAGCAGGTGTAAGCTAAAGTAGGTAAGCTATCCTAAAGGCGCTGTAGATAGTGTAATTAGACTAGGCATAACACGCAAATGTGTAAGCAAGAAGCAGAAGTAGTATCTAAATAATATTCTAGGCTGTACTGTACTATATAGTGCCAGAGCGGGTTGTTATGGGCCATAATAGAGTTTGTTGGGGTGGGGTCTTGGCAAAAGTGAGCGACTCGGGTGTGTGAGCAACTCGCCTATGAAGTACGTTAGAATTATTTTAAATATATATGTAACCCCTAATAACTTTTTATATAAGGTGTACAAAGACGCTATAGCTTAGGGAAGAGTGTAGGTTAATTACTTTCTGTGCAAGCAATTAATCCTTAAGGGGGTAAAAAAGAAGAGAAGGTGTTAGTTAGTTACCTTCTATGTAAGCAATTAATCCCTAGAGAGGTAAGAGGGGAGAGGAGGTGTTAGTTAGTTGCCTTCTGTGCAAGCAATTAATCCTTAAAGGGAGAAAAAAGTGTTAGTTAGTTATTACCTTTTATATAGGTAATTAATTAAGGGGGGGGGGTGTTAACAAAGTAGGCTGCTAATAAGAAGCCTTCTTTATGTAGCTACACACATAGTAGGTTTCTAATTATGCAGCCTATATTGTCTTCTCTGCGTAGCTACGCACGCAGTAGGTAAGTAGTTGCATAGCCTATATTAACAGGAGGCTTTAGGGCGTATAAAGGCTTAGTAGTAAGCTCTTTTTGTGTAGCTACGCACGCAGCAGGTTACTAATCTTGTCTTTATATAATTAGTTAATCTAGGGGCGCGCATAATGCTTGTCTAAGCCCTCTCTGCGTAGCTACGCACGTAGTAGGAGTAAGCTGTTTATATAGTAGCAGTTTTATTAATTCTTACAAATCTATCTATTAAGAATAATATCCTTTGCGTAGCTACGCACGCAGTAAATAGTTTATTAATAAACTAATTAGTGTTAGTTAACCTAGGTTTAATTAAATAAACATACACCTAAAGAGTGTACTAAAAGGTAAGTAAGTAAAGATTTTCTTGTTATTAACTACTACCCTCTCTTTTTATATAAAGAAAGAGAGTTTTTAAGTACACATAGCCCCTAACGCACAGGCTAGATAGCTAATGTTTTAGGCAACCTAATTCAGCTGTACGCGTGTACAGACGCAGCTGTACTTACATACAGACATATAACGTACTTTACAGGCAAGTTGCTTACACACCTAAGTTACTTACTTTTACTAAGACTCTACTAAACTACTTTTTTTACACTAATGCATTTCTAACAACACTACTTAGACATGCTAAAAGAATGTTAGATATAGCTTACACTTTAAGGTTTTAAATAAAATATAAAACTTTTAAAGAAATATGCTGTAGCTATGTATAAAGTTTTTTAAAAGATAATAAATAACTATAGCGCTAAATAACTTTTATAAGCTAATTCTATAGCTAACTTATAAAGGCTAAGTAATAATAAAAAGTAGGTAATTATTAAAACTATACTTAAGCTATATATATAAGAATTTTCCTTTTAGATAGCATTTATAGCTAATATAGCTAATTCTTTACACAGTAAGTGTAATCTAGGCTATATTAGCATAAACTAGTCTAGTATATTTATAAATTATTATTTAAAGCTTAAAGTAAAGTTTTAAGCATAAGTATAGTTAATAAATATTTAGCGTATTTTAAAGCTTATTTTACTAAAGTTATACATGTTATTATTCTAGATGCTATACTTAGCTTTAATATTCTTTATAAATCTAAACCTACTTTAAATTACTTTAGAACTTTTATAAACAGCTTTTTTATAGTTATACTTATACTTAAATGTTACTTTAAGCTTTAGACAACACTTTATAAACATACTAAGCTAGTTTATGCTAATATAGCCTAAATTACACTTAGTATGCAAAGAATTAGCTATATTAGCTATAAATGCTATTTAAGAGAAAAATCTTTATGTATATAGCTTAAGTATAGTTTTAATAATTACCTACTTCTTCTTATTATCTAGCCTTTATAAGTTAGCTATAGAATTAGCTTATAAATATTATCTAGTGCCTTAGTTATTTATTATTTTTTAAGAGACTTTATATATAGCTGCAGCATGTTTCTTTAAAAGTTTTATATTTTATTTAAAAGCTTAGAGTGTAAGCTATATCTAACATTCTTTTAGCATGTCTAAGTAGTGTTATTAGGAATGCACTAGTATAAGAAAAGTAGTTTAGTAGGTCTTAGCAAAAGTTAGCAACTTAGGTGTGTAAGCAACTCGCCTGTAAAGTATGTTAGTAAAATATAGTAAATTATAATTAGCAAAGGTCGTTCCAAGATTGACGGCAGTCTAGAATAGGGCACTGAGAAGCAGTTAAAGGGTGTACGCTAGAGCCTGATATTTAGAAGTATTTTCCATAGTTTTAGGCCTATTGGAGCAGCGGTGTGGGTGAAGAGACCATTCTTGGACAAGACCCAAAACGATTCGAGACAGCGAGATCCAGCGCTGATGAGAATTATTTGGTGTCTCATTATCCCCGAGAATCGAAGTTTTTGCCGGCTAATCCATGTTCCTTTGCTTCCATTGTCGGCTTGATCTTCCATATCAGGGTTAAGATATTGCCAGTAAATCTTCAGGGCGGGTACCCTGGGGATGGCAGGGGCAAGAACAATACTTCCCACCGCAATGTAGAGCAAGTAGTACGATTGCGAGTGACACTTCGACGGCTTCGTCACAGTTCTAGAGGAATTATCAGCTCGAACGGTCCAGTTGAAAGGAAGAATCCGGTCAACCCAATCATCCATGGCCATGTCTCCAGGTTTCTTGGACTGCTCTCTCCAAGCCTCATTGCATATATATTGACTCCGGTTCCCAATCGACAGAGCGTCATAGTCAGATCTACAACAGCTTTGTCCGATAGTGAGAGTTCTTTGGCCGTGCCGTCGCAAAACGAGGTAGTGTTGAAGATCGCTCATTCGTGGGTTCAACAAGCACTATTCCCATGACAGTGATCGCACATATTAAGGCCGATGTTGTTCATGATGGCTTGGTGTAATTTTCAGCAGGGTGAGTCAGGCGTGCAAGGTGAAGATTGGCCGATGGGAGGCTGTGCGCCACAGGCTTGTCGGAAACGTTTAGGTGCCCGCGCCAACACCCCGACGTATTGTCGGTATAATCAAAGATCCGTACCTTGACTTTGATGCTGAGGCGCAGCTATTCGAATCCGTTGAAACAAACACAAAAAGTAATTTTTTGAGCACCACAGTGAAAATGCGACTGGAGACATCGGTCACGTGGAGCGGTTTCATGTGCGACAAGATCGGCTCCGCCCTTCTTCCCCTACGAGATAAGCGGTGAGAGTTCATGCAAAGCCTCGGGCAAGGCTAAATCATACGATATGATCCGGTCAAGACTTCAAAAAAATCCGGTCAGGTATCGAAAGACTGAATGCATCGTCGCTAACGTCGTCCAAATTCGGCAATTGTGGCTTGAGGCGTTCTCACTCCACTACGCCAAATCCGGATTGACCAGTGAGATATAAGCAGGGAAGGCTTTGATCACGTCTCGTGAGACCACCGGAATGGGATATCTCTCCAATTGGGGAAAGCAAAGTGAAGCAGGTCTGGATACTCGATATGGGAAGTTCCGCAGTACCTGTGAGGAGGTAGCAAGGGTTGCATGTGACCGAATCGATTAAGAATCAATAGTATTACCCAAGAAGTTGCATTTGATTTGGACACGTCTGCGCAGTTCAGAGCTGCAAGATACGCCTCAAATAATCTATGCGTTGCCAACGAAAAGAGTCGCCACCCCTGCAAAAGCTGTAAGAACCCAATTCGTCGTAATATCCGTAATCCCGGGCGGACAATACCTGTATCCTTGTTAATGAAGGAAGAGCAATTTCTAATGCAGAAAAGGAGGTCTCTCACTTTTCTCCCGCCACGTTAACAAACCCTTCCCAGAACATCCACTGGCTGACGTAGGAGGTAAGACCTAGAATAAGAGCCAAGTACATCCACTTGAGACGGATGGTGTCCCGCTGCCATCTATGCGGGTACCTCTTCATCTCCTCTCGGCGATCTGCCTCCCATGGGTCCAATACTTCTTCGACGAACCAAGTAAGAAGCGACGTTGTTTGTCGAGGGGTCAGCCTGGGCTGTTTCGGATCATAATTGTCTCGGATTGATGGTGTTTCATGAACATAGGAGGTGTTTTGCGGTGCAATGGCAATGCCAGTCTGGGACGCGCCACTCCCAGATACTACATTTTTCGGGTCAGTGAATGGGTCGGTAGGGCGTAAGCTGTGACCTTGGCCAATTTTTCTTTGGTCTGAAACATTATCGATAACTAGTTCTTCATCGATGGCAATCGTGTCATAGGCCGAGTAGTCTGCGATCGGCCTTGCACGCGTTCGTCTAAAGGCTCTAGGTTGCAAAGCCTCGGGATGCAGTCTATCACTTGTAGTTGGATCTCTAGCACTCTCTTCGGCAGAGAGGAATACGTTGCTCTCATGAGAATTCGCGGTACGAAAACCCTCTCGGGGAAGGTCGGTCAGATAACTAGATGAAGATATAATGTCGCGAGACTGAGGAGCTGGGTCTAACAGGTAGAAGCTTGGCCTGTGAGGTGAATCGGGCCGAGCATTCGTTCCAGAAATGGGAGCCATTTCCAGTTCCGGTTGAGTATTCATTTCTTCCTGATATTGGAGAAGACTTGAGGAGTCACACCTTTCTGTATGCGTACGAATACTCTTTTTACGTGACAGTGAGCGCTGCATGCTATCGCCGAGGGGCGCTCTTAACAAATGGCGCCGGATCCAGGTGCGCACCTTTCCGTCCGGAATGATCATACCAAACCATCGTCTTACATGACCTGGGATGATGTACTTGCTGAAGAATCTTCGAGCACCGTTTGGCAGACGGTAAGGAAAGGAGGATGAGTCTTTTCGGGCCATCTTCACGAGCCGAGCACCTGGCTTCGGGACGGCGGTCGTGTCTTTCTCTTGGTCTTCGGTTAAGCCGCAAAATGTAGAGCCCATCTTGCGCCAAAACTTTTTCCTATTCTCTTTCCGTTTATTCTTTAAATCTTCGCTGGGGTTCGTAGCTTTTTCGAATCTCCTCACGGACTTCCCAAACCTTAGAGCTGCCAAGACCCAGAAGGCGAAGAGGATAGGCACAGTAATTGCCCAGACCAACGCACCATTGTACATGCGGCGGGCTGCGTGTCCTCGGTAGTACTGGTACAGGTGGTGTGAGATGTAGAACTCTCGGATACGGCCGATATGTGTCGTTCGTACTAAGGAGTACGCCCCCAGCATCTCCATGAGCAGTTCACTGATCGCTGCGCTGTATGCGACCTTAGTCCATAGCCCGACCACGTAGAGGTCATTCTTCTTGGTACTCTTTCTTTCCAGATATTCTACCAGCCGTTTCCGATTAAATAGTCCAATGATACAGGTAGTCCAAGAGAAATTGGGACGAGCAAACCAAAGAAAAGCGAGTCGCCAAGGATGGATGTTTTCAAATCCTGGTCTTGTCTTTATATGAAACGCATTGTAAATAGTAACTCCTGCACTCAGTCCAGCCCAAACAAAAGCAACCGATAAAGCCTGCACGACATCCTTCGTGGCAGAGCTGGACGTGCTAGATTCACGACAAGGTTTACACGTGAGGCAATTCCATAGTTGCTCCAAAGGCCAAGTTATGTAGACCTTCAAGTACTCATTCCAGAGCCATTTGATAGACAAGATACATCGCTGGACCAATTCCAGAGCCTCTGAATCGTTCAAGGACCTAAGGATTGGAAGTGTGAAGTGCCACTTCCCCGAATAGTGGAAGAACAATTGGATGTACGGAATGGATATCAGGGCGAGAAAGATAGCTAGACTTTCTAGCGCAAAAAGCTTAAGATAGTATGAAGGACGGTGGCATTTCGGGGTTCTGCGAACTCCTCCAGTGGAGTCGTCGTAATGGATTGTCCAGTTCCAAGGTAATATGTACTCCAGCCAGTCGTCGCGTGCCATGCCTCCAAAGTACGTAAAGTTAGCTCTCCATTCCTGAGTACAGTGTCTTTTGATCCACCGGGCAATATCGAAAGGTTCGTTTCCTGAAGCACAGCATTCGCCGCTGATATACATCCAGTCATCCGGTTGGGACTGGCACAAGCGTGTAGAGTTGATGATAGGCCAACCGTGTGTTCGGCATGCTTTGTCGTCCTGGCATGATGGCGAGGCACACCAATCTAAGCTTGCGTGCTTTGAGATGCTTGCCCATAATTCTGAGCATGGATGTCCCGTCGGGCAATTCGATGATAGAGTAGAGTGGTTGCCGAGAACACAGCCTTCTCGGAAACAAGGGGGTGCATGTTCCAGAATGTCGGTATACTGACGATACGTAATCAAGGAGCCGCATATCGGAGTAGAGGATATCGAAGAGACAAGCAAAAGCAGTGTGAAGGTCTGAAGGTAGATCATCTTGTGGGTCGGACATCATCGTGGAGATTCATCTCGGCGACATGGACCCGTTTTAGAGATTTCCTGATCACTCTGGAACGACTTTTGCTGGCGCGTCTCCTCATGACGTTCTGAATCATGCGACCAATGTCTCCTGTTGGGTTACTGATTAGAGTGTGAATCAGGCTGGGCTCACTACGTCGCGAATATAATCCTCAATCGGCCGCTGTGGCTTGTGGCGTCCTCACTCCACCTTTTGGTGCGGCTCGACACGGTGCAGCTCGAACATCGACGACATCCCGAACCCAACTCGATCGTCAAGGAATTGGACAGACTGGATCTCTTAGGGTCTGGTGAGGGATTTCGAGCCTATCTAGATGACCCGAGTGATTAAGTGCACTTGGGTAATCGACGCAAGCGATCTTAGCGTTTGGTAGTATACAAGGGTACGGCGGACTGTTAGCTGATGAAGGGAAAAAACTAATTGCGAATTTAAAAATTCTTTACTCTACACCTATACATCCCTAATTATAGCTTTTAGCTACTTACAACTTTATTGCGGAGCGAGCTTGCGAGTGAAGCAATCTTAAGAGCAAATAACAGCCGGCTAATTGTCAGCCCTAATTAGGTTTAGCAAAATTCCCTCTTTAGGATCTTAAAGTTTATGCAAATTTATGATTAGTTATCTAGAAATTAGTTAATTATTAGCTTTAATTAAGGGAACGCATTCTAGCCCTAGCTTGTCGCGCTCCCGCCTCCAACACGTTCTTGCTCCTGCAACAGTCTTCCTCTTCTTTACACCTTGCAGTCTCTAGCGTTGCGCCTGTTCCTTTCACCGCCTAATACTGCCACGTATGCTGCAGCTTGTGTAGTTTGTTGCCTCTGCAGGAATTTCTCGGGGTACTGGGGAGCTCTGGCGCTGCCTCTGCCTCTGCCTCTCTGTCGCCGCAAAGACTCTATCATGAACCACCACAGCCTCCCGCACCGCCTGCAACTATTCACCTACTTACTTCTATAGATAATAGCTTCTAGGATAAGGTTCCTCTTGCTGCTGTTACAGATCCCTTAACTGTTTTGTTTGCACAACCGCTAGTTTTGCTTCTTCAACTGCCGTTTAAATATAATAGGCTAATGCCTAGAGGTATTAGTAAGAGATTACCTAGCAGCATTAGGAAAGCCATAAAGTAAATTGCAGCAAATTGCAGCAGATTGCGCCAAACTATAGCAAATTACAGCAAACTACAGTAGATTACAGCAACAGGCAGCAATCTCTAGCAGATATTAGTTGTGTTGCAAGTGGCTCTACGTATAGAGAGCGTTCTAGGGGGGTAATGCCTCTAGAAGAAAAGCTACTTTATATACTACTTTATATATTACTATATCTACTACAATTATATACCTCTTGCTATTTTAAGCTTTGCCTATGTATAGAGAGGGTTCTAGAAAGGGAACGCCTCTAGAAAAAAAAACTACTTTATATACTACTATTACTACTACTATTACTATTATAATGTTATAATTTCAAAGGCTAATATTTAGTTTAATACCTATTCTAGTATTTTTTTAAATATATAAAGTATTTAGTAGATTAATTTACATAACAACACTAATAAATTAATAGTTAAGCATTAATACTATTTTATATTTTAGTAAGAACTTACTTAATTTATAATATACTTCTACTTTTACTTTTAATCTTTTTTTTACTTAGTTTTCTAACTTTATCTAATAGTATAAATATACTACTATAATACTACTTTTTTACTTGTATCTTTTATTAAGTGTTACTAAAGTTATTAGCTTTTAAATAACGTACTTCACAGGCAAGTTGCTTACACACCTAAGTTGCTTACTTTTGCTAAGACTCTACTAAACTACTTTTCTTACACTAATGCATTCTCTACAACACTACTTAGACGCGCTAAAAGAACATTAGATACAGCTTATACTTTAAGCTTTTAAATAAGATATAAAACTCTTAAAAAAACATGCTGTAGCTATATATAAAGTTTTATAAAAAATAATAAATAACTATAGCGCTAGACAACATTTACAAGCTAATTCTATAGCTAAATTATAAAGGCTAGGCAATAAAAAAAAGCAGGTAATTATTAAGACTATACTTAAGCTATATGCGCAAGGAATTTCCCCTTAAATAGCATTTATAGCTAATATAGCTAATTCTTTGCGCGCTAAGTGTAATCTAGGCTATGTTTATATAAACTAGCCTAGTACATTTATAAAGTGTTATTTAGAGCTTAAAGTAACATTTAAGCGTAAGTATAACTATAAAAGAGCTTTTTATAAAAGTCCTAAGGTAATTTAAAGCAGGTTTAGCCTTATAGAGAATATTAAAGCTAAGTATAGCATCTAGGATAATAACATGTACAACTTTAGTAAGACAGGCTTTATAATTAGCTAAATATCTTTTAACTATACTTACGCTTAAAAGTTTACTTTAAGCTTTAAATAACACTTTATAAATATACTAGGCTAGTTTATGCTAATATAGCCTAAATTACACTTAGCATGTAAAAAATTAGCTATATTAGCTATAAATGCTATCTAAGGGGAAAATTCTTATGTAATGTACCTAACGGGTTGGCCGGCCACACAGGTTGGCCGGCCACTTTTGCCAAGCCCCCACTAAACTCTACCTATCTACATAATGCCTTAACAACAACACTAGATTAAATCTTCTAAAGAACGTTAGATACAGCTTGCTCTTTAGGCTTTTAAATAAGACTTAAAACTCTTCTTATAACGCGCTGTAGCTATCTATAATGTCTTTTACACAACACTAAGCAATTAACGCGCTAGACAGCCTTTACAAGTAGAATGCTAGCCTAAATTAAGAAATCTAACTAAGCTTAAAAAGAAGGTAGTTGTTAAGTACATACTTAAGCTTATTACACGCAGATTTCCCCTTAGGCTTACAGCTGTAGCTAATATAGCTAATTCCTTACCTATAAAGCGTAATCTAGGCTAGGTTAGCTTAAACTAGACTAGTATGTAGGTTAAGCACTGCCCTAAGTTTATAATAAAGTTTAATTATAAGTATAATTATAAAAGAGTGCTTTATAAAGATCTAGAGGTTATCTAGGGCTAGTTTTGCCTAGTAGCTAACATAAAAGCTAAGTACAGTATCTAGGATAAAGACAGGTATAACTTTAATAAGTTAGGCTTTATAATAGGCTAGATATTAACTAGAGCAGTTATTACAGCTTTAAAGAGATAAGAACAGCTAAAGGTAATATAGTAAAGTAATAGAAAGTAGACAACAGTTATCTAGGGCATTAATATAATAAAGTAGGCTATAAAATTACAGAGCTTTAAGCAGCAAATAAGGCTGCTACATAATGTAGATTACATAAAAGGAAGCAGATTTAGGCAGAAAAGACTTTAATAGTTAAGGATAGGGCTTGTCTAACTGCTCTAAAGGAGTTTAAAGCGTGTAGTAATAGGAAGAAGCTAAAGACGCAGGTGCGCGCTAAAGGAGGTAAGCTAAGTTAAAGGCAATGCAGGTAGTGTAATTAGACTAGGTATAACTTACGTACATATAAGTAAGTAGTAAAAGTAGACTCTAAATAATATCTTGTGTTATATTACTTTATACAGGGCTAAAGTGGGCTGTTTTGCGAGAGAATAGGGTGGTTTTAGTAGGGGCTTAGCAAAAGTGGCCGGCCAACCCGTGTGGCCGGCCAACCTGTTAGGTACGTTATATAGCTTAAGTATAGTCTTAATAATTACCTACTTTTTATTATTACTTAGCCTTTATAAGTTAGCTATAAAATTAGCTTATAAAAGTTATCTAGTGCTATAGTTTTTTATTATTTTTTAAAAAACTTTATATATAGCTGCAGCATGTTTCTTTAAGAGTTTTATGTTTTATTTAAAAGCTTAAAGTGTAAGCTATATCTAACATTCTTTTAGCATGTCTAAGTAGTGTTGCTAGAAATGTATTAGTGTAAAAAAAGTAGTTTAGTAAGGTCTTAGTAAAAGTAAGCAACTTAGGTGTGTAAGCAACTTGCCTGTAAAGTATGTTAACCTATTTTAATAAGGTGTTAACAGAGAGAGAAAAGAGCTATAAGCAAGTATAGGTCTTCTGTACGTTAACATCGAAGTAGGATTATAAGATAATTAAGAAGGTAGATATAAGTAAAGGCATAGTGCAAATGTTCTAGAACTGCTTCTAGTATAACAGCTAATCTAAACTTGTTGCAATAGAGAGAGATCTACAAACTGCACAGAATAGTTACAGCCTACGCTTGTATATCTAGACTTTAGAAGAAGGTCTATAGCGTATCTTAGCTAAATACACTCTCTATTACATAGACAACGCACTAATACACACTGCCTATAACACTACTCTGTGGCTAAATGCTATAGACATTAACGTGCTTTAGTAGCTACTCTACTTGCTAGATCTTAATCTAATGAAACACCTATAGTAGGCACTTAAGAAGAATATCTGTAAATTGCACCTTAAGTTAGAGAGCTAGGGACTAGAGGGAGCTAATAGAGAGGCTTTTATTAAGGCTGCTAAGGAAGCTTAGCAAGCTGTACCCTAAGATCTTATAAAGACGCTAATTAATTTAATGTTAAAAAGAATCAAGGCAGTTATAAAAACTAGAGACTAGCAAACAAAGTACTAGCATAGAATAGCAATTAAGCTGCTAATCGAGCCTTAAAACTAACTTCATCGACACGCAAAAGAAGGTTGTAATCTACAAAGGCGAACTTTTTAGACTAGATAACTCTGACATACATGCGCTGTATAAGAGCACTAGTTAACGAAAGCGATAATCTTAACTACCCAGTCTCTCGCTCGAAGCATTCCGAACGCTATATGAAACCCCCAACAAATGAAAGTCATCGCCGCCCCACTCAACCTCTCGCTCAAACCTTCGCAAGCGCATCACCCATCAGCACCCGCTCACTCCCCGTCAAAAGCGCCAACGCACTACAAAGCTCCTCCAAAATCCGCTCCACCGTCTTCTCCTCAAACCTCCCCAAATTCCCATTCACAATGACCCTCAACCTAGAGCTCTCCGCCTCCGGAATACCCGTGATCTCCACATTATGCAGCGGCGACTCGCGCAACACCATCCTCGTCAAGCCATCGGCGCCCTCCTTAGCCTCCTCCTCGTCATCATGGCGCGAAAACCCATCGAGTCGGATGCTTTGGCCATGAATCTGGCTTTGAGGTCGCATCTCGTAGTTTTGGAATGTGGTGCAAGCGCCGAAATCTGTTGTTGAAGCGGGCCAGTCTGTGCAGTTGCCCTTCAGATCGTCGAAGCCCAGGGTTTCAAAGGGCAGGCTGTCGACGTACTGTGATTGGACGTTCTGAAGGACATCTCCTAGCGTGGCATTCTCGTCGATGAGGACCCGCACAGGGACTTCGTTGGTGCAAGGGCCGACGATGTTCTGCGACGTGCTCGGTAGGTTCTGCCGTCCGGATACAACGCGGCCGAAGAGGAGGTCGGTGGATCCGGTTTCCTTTGCTAGCATGATGGCACAAGCTGTTGTGAAGACTGTGGCTGGCGTGATTTTGTATCTAGCTAGGAAGGGCGATGGGATGGTCTTCTCCACGATGTAGGTTCCGCTGAGTCTGGGCGCGTTTTCGAGATTGCGTCGCACGTCTGGGATGATGCTCATTGAGGAGTGTTGTAGGACGGAGCTCCAGTAGTTATAGCCGAGTGCACGGCTTTGTACCATGTGCTGGATGTAGCTGGCGAATCTTGACGGCGTTGCAAGTGTGTTGCCGTTGTGGAGGGCGTGTAGGGAGAGTACAATGTGCTCGAAGCTCAAGCCATCGTACAAAGCGTGTGACATCCGAAGTATTACTCGCACCGTTGATTGCTGTCGCTTGAGAATGGCGATGCGAAGTAGTGATTGTCCAAGGCGGAGGGGTTGCTTGAGATCCATGTCTACTACCGAGCGGGTCGCACTTGTGATATCGCTATCCGTTTCAATTACCTCGATCGGGACAGCAAGGTTTTCTAGAACCACTTGATGCAGCGTGCCTTTGACGGATACGAAAGTAGTGCGGAAGATGTCGAAATGCTGCACAAGGGCCCCACAGCTGCTGGCTAACCTCTCGCAATCCGTATCGGAAGGGAAGTCGATGATAAAGACCGGAGGGACTCGTGGATTTCCTGTTGTTGGATCATGCAAGAACCGTTTCTGAACCTGAGTAGGAGGGTAGACGTCAAGAACCTTGGCCGAACGATCTCCTAGTTGTGGAGTGATCTCATTCTGCACGAAGTCCGAGCGGTCACCCGCCTGAAGGAGCTCGAAGGGAGCGCTGTCTGCTTGTACCGAAGCGGATGCTTCCGCCTCTCCATTCGCTCTCAGCTTGAGCGATAGCTCCGAGGCAAGATCGGCGAGGACAGGATTGCTGAAAATATCTCTCACAGACAGGCTGGTATTCAAGCGCCGGCCGAGACTCGATGCGAGCTTCGTCGCCATGAGGGAATGTCCACCAAGCTCAAAGAAATTTTCCGTGACGCTGACCGCCACTCCTAAAACGTTAGTAAACTCCTCACAGAGCAGGCTTTCCATCTCGTTGCGTGGGGTCACGCGCTCCCGAGATAGCCTGCTCTTGGTCACTGTCTTAGCTCTCTTGGCGAGCTCCTTTCTGTCCACCTTACGATTAGAATTGAAGGGCATCTGGTCCAGCACCACGATGCGGCTTGGCACCATATAGCCAGGTAGCAAGATCTGTAGACGGTCCCGAACTTGCGCTTCAACCCGACGACTCTGTAGTCCTTGGAGCGGCCGATTTGTGCGTGAGTTCGGCACTTGATTGGCGTCATCGGCAGGGAATTGGATGAGCACACGGCCTCCATCATGTCGTGATTGGTAGTTGTGGAACACTGCATCGACAGCGCCGTTCTGAGATCGTTGACGAGCCCAGCTGAGCTTAACTCGTAAGCCCGCTTCTTTTCCAAGCTCAACTAGGTCAGCGGCAGAGAGGGCAGGACAGCGTTCGGCCTTTTCGCGAGCGGCTGCTATCCAGTTTTGTGTAGTTTCGTTGTATTCTTCGAGGGACTCGACCAGGCAACGTTCTAGGATTGTCTTGCTGTACGGAATGTTGCTGATAGCAATGGGTTGGTTGCTGGGAGAGCTCTGCAGAAGGCTAAGAAGAGAGCTACGGTCCATCTTCGACACGTGATAGTCGTGCCAGACGTCAGCTGCGATTGGATGTACAGCTGGCGCCTGATCTGCCGTCTCATGAACGTGTATGACAGCCGCGTATCGGTACGCGCTGAGTTCGTTAGTAGCCCTCATCATCTTCGGTAGGATCTCGACATGCGACACCCGGTCAGCCAGACGACTTGTCAGCTGGGTGAAGAACGCAGGATCAATCAATAGCTCTTCCTCTCGTTCCCCAATTTCTGCAATCTTCTGTCGTACCTCATCCTTTGACGCCTTATTGCCGAGCGTGTGTAGAGCTCTTGACACGAGGAACTCTGTGTTGAGAGTATAAGATCTGATGTCACCGAAGAAGATCCTTCGTACACCAGGAAGCCCAACTAGCGTGTCTACAGCCTCCATCAAATACTCTGGTGAAGGGAAATATTGTGCCACAGAGTTGACGATAACAAGCTCTGACTGGAGACCCTTCAGACAACCAGCGTCAGTCGCTCCACCAACTTGCATGTCGACTCGGTCTGCCAGATCTGGCACGGATTGCGCCATGTCGCGGACGAAAGAGGCAGCCGCAGCCGAGGGATCAATACCAACGTATTGCTGTAGGCCGTCACCAAGATTGAACAGGATCATACCTGTACCACTGCCGACCTCAAGGACATGGCCCGCAGCCTGTCCGTCTAGGATCTGTTGAATAGTATCATCAAGCCATTCATTCATTTCATCCTTAGGAATGTCTTCTCCATCGTACATCGAAGTCCATCCCATGAAGTCACGACCGATGCTCGAGCGATCGATATTGTAAATATCCGCATATCGACTCTTTTCAAAATGCTCTTGCCACCCTTCTAAGTGACTGTTGGCAGTGGCAGTATTGTCTTGCTTTTGCGTGTCGTCGCCGCGCTTTGTAACGAACCCGACCATCTCCACTCCGGTATCTTCTTGGTCATAGCGTACTACAACGGCGGCGTCGCTAACAATGTCATGGCTAAGGATAGCGTGCTCAACTTCAGCTAACTCAACACGGTAGCCGCGAATCTTGACTTGCTGATCTAGACGGCCAAAGAACTCAATCTGGCCATCCATTGGCCTGTATCGGACTCTGTCGCCTGTGCGGTATGCTCGAACCTTTTGACCCTCGATAGTAATGTCGACAAATCTGTTGAGATCTAGAGCCGAGTCTGTGTATCCACGCGCTAGACCATCACCTGTTACCACAAGTTCGCCCATGACACCAGTTGAGACAAGCTGTAGGTGCGCGTCCATAATGTAGGCACCTGAGTTGCTCATGGCTTGGCCGATTGGTACGCCATTGACATATGGATCGTGCCTGTCGATTTTATATAGAGTGCTGACAACTGCGTTTTCTGTCGGTCCGTACGAGTCGTAGACTCCTCCAGCTCCACCATCGACAAGAGCTTGTGCTTGGAGAGCGTCCCGACTATCAACACGGTCTGCGCCAACGAATAGAACCTTCAAGCCGTGAAGACAGTCTGGATAGCTTGCGAGACATTGTTTGAGCAGCATTGATGAAAACATAGAAACATTAATCTTCTCCTGGTTGAATAACGCACCAAGCGCTCTACTGTCTAGCGTCGTCAAGTAGTCTACGCAGACAAGAGACCCGCCATTCAGGAGCGCTGAGAATATCTCCCACGTAGCGATGTCGAAAGCGATAGTTGTTAAATGGGCGACACGTGACGACGGTGCCATCATTTCTTGCACGTCACTATTCTTGACCAGGCGGACGATACCTCGATGCTCCACCATGACACCTTTCGGTTTGCCTGTTGAGCCTGATGTGAAGATGACGTAAGCGAGGCTGGTGGAAGAGGGCGTCGGCAGGATCGTTGTAGTGGTACCTGCATGTCCCAAGGTCTCAGCAATCAGTACCATCTCAACATCCGGTAGCATGATGTCCGGACGCCGAATGTCAGTACCAAGGAGGGCGAGCTTGTGGCCAGAGACAGCTCTAAGAATGGTCTCAATCCGGGCGGTAGGGACATTAATGTCGAGAGGGAGGTACGCAAGACCAGCCTTGAGGATACCAAGGAAGGCTGTAATTGTTTGGCAGGAACGCGTTGATAGGACTCCGACTAGAGTCTCGGGAGCCATCTTTCGCCTACATAGCCAGCCAGCCAGGTCATCAGAGTATCGGTCAAGCTCAGTGTACGTCAATTCGGTTGACGAGTCCTTGACCGCTAACGCATTTGGATAGAGGGCCACCTGCTCGCGGAAAACGTCGACTATACTAGATTCACGCGGATAGTCCGTCTTTGGTTCCTTAAGTAACCCTTCGTTACGCAGCTGCGAGACGCCGTCTGTAAGTGGAAGCGTCCCGATAGGCGTCTCTGGGTTGTCAAGGCCTCGTCGCAGGACTTCGTGGAAGACACTAAGCATACTCTCAACCGTTGCGGCTTCAAACAGCTCAGAAGCGTAGAGCACGTTACCACTTAGACAATTCTCTTCCTGGAAGAGATGGAACTCCAAGTCGAATCTGGTAGTTAATGCAATAGGTATTAACTCGCCCTGCACGCCCTCAAACCGAAGCCGTCCCAGATCTCGTTGGGAATGCACAGCGAAAGTGACCTGGACGAGGGGATTGCGAGATGCGTCACGCCGTCCTGGTAGCAGGGCTGAGACGAGCTGTTCGAAAGGTATATCTTGATTGGCAAATGCTTCTGTCGCTGTATGGCGCACCTGCTGCACAAGGCCTTCAAAGGACTCCTCGGTAATAGTAATACGCATGGCTTGGGTATTGACGAAGAATCCGATGAGGTTTTCGAGCTCTGGGCGGTTCCTATTAGCGATAGGAGTACCTATAGTAGCATCCTCGGTGCCGGTGAGCCTATAGTGAGTGGCACGGAAGGCCGCCAGCAGGACGACGAAAGGTGTCACTTGCTGAGCACGGCAGTAAGCCTGCAAGCTCTCATATAGGCCCCCTGTGATGAAAACTGGAGCAACACCTGCTTGGCCGGAGAGTACGTCGGGTCGTGGCTTGTCGCATAGAAACTCAGCTGGGGTACTGTCAGTGAGCTGCTTTGTCCAGTAGCCAAGCTGCCTCTGCTGCTCAGCAACTTGGTCCGCTTGCTTCTGCCACAATGCGAAGTCGCGGTATTGAATTGGGAGCGCCGGGATCTGCGATGACAACTCCTCACCACGCTCCCCGCGGAGTGCAGCGGTGTAGAACACGTCTAGTTCTCGACGGAGGACATCCACTGACCAGCCGTCAGAGATGATGTGGTGCATTACGACAGATAGAATGTTGTCGCTCTCGCCGATTCGTAGTAGACAGACCCTCCAGCCTGGTTCAACCGCAAGATCGAATGGTCTTGTCTGCTCTGCCTTCACTGCGTCGAGCACCTCAGCCTTGGTATAAGTAGAAGCGTCGACAATGCGGAGACCTCCAGAGCGACGCGCGTGGACGACTTGGGCACCAATGCCACTGTGCTCCTCAAAAGTAGTTCTCAAGGTCTCATGTCGCTGTTCAAGAGCCTGAAGAGCAGCGTTTAGTGCGTCGACATTGAGCGGACCACGCAGGCGGGTTGCTAGCGGGATAATGTACCACATCGCTTTGACATTAAGTTGATCAAGGAACCAAAGACGACCTTGCGCAAACGACTGTTCTACAGGTCCGCTATACCCCATCGGGACAATGGCGCGGTGTGGGCTAGTGCCTTGTTGGATTGCCGCTGCAAGATCTGTGAGGATGGGGTAATCGAAGATATCCTTGACCGCCACGCTGGCGTTGAGCCGTTGGCCGAGACGCGTCGCAAGCTTCATAGCTGTCAAGGAGTGTCCGCCTAGCTCGAAGAAATCGTCACCCATGTCGAAGTCTCTTCCTAGCAGGTAGTTGAGCTCCTCGTAGAGTATGGTTTCCGCGTCGTTCTGCGGAAGCATGCGTGGACGTTCCTCCTCACGCGTTGGCAGTTCATCAACTTGACGAGAAAGCTCTCTTCGGTCAACCTTGCCGTTAGCATTGACCGGCATCTGGGGGAGAGCTCTGATCTGTGCAGGGACCATGTAGGGTGGGAGTGTTGCTTGTAGTCGCTTGTGCACCTCCTTCTCAAGCTGCCTTCCAAATCGCTCTGCTGAATCATTTGGAGAACCATTTGTAGCTTGTCCTGTGAGGCCACTTTGGCCGGCTGTAATGAAACCGAACATTTCCGGCTCTTGTCCCTCTTCATGGCGGATAACGATAGCGGCATCGTCGACTTCGTCGCAGCCGAGCATAGCATTCTCTATCTCAGCAGGCTCAACGCGGTGACCGCGAACCTTGATCTGGAAGTCCATCCGCCCAAAGAATTCGATTTGGCCATCCCTTGGTCGAACTCTTACGCGATCACCTGTACAGTAGGCCCTGACTCGTTGGCCATCAATCGTGACTTCAGCCATGCGACCGATATTGAGTTTTGGATCGGTATATCCCCGAGAGAGGCCGTCACCTGTCACTACTAGCTCGCCCATTACTCCAATGGAGACAAGCTGCTGCTGTGCATCCATAACATAAGCGCCTGAGTTGCTGACAGGGCGGCCAATTGGGACGCTGCCGACGAATTGATCTTTGGGGCGTACGTTGTAAATGGTACTGAGGACTGCATTCTCGGTAGGGCCATAGGCATTATATACTCCTTGTGGGACATGAGCCTGAGCCTTGACTGCATCTTGGCCATCCAATCGGTCGCCGGCAGCGAATAGGACATCGAGACCGCTCAGCATGGATGATGGTGCTGTAGCCAGACACTGCTTGAGTAACGCAGGTGGGAACATTGCTCCACGGATCTTCTCTTGCATGAAAACCTTGCTCAAGGCTTGAGTATCTAAGGTAGTGAAGTAGTCAATGCAGACTATCGTTCCACCGTTCAGCAATGCTGCGTATATTTCCCACGTCGAAGCATCGAAAGCAAGGTTTGACAAGTGTGCTATTCGAGCTGTACGCGGCTGTCTGTTGACTACGTTACTGTTCTTCACAAGGCGAACGACGTTGCGATGTTCGATCATAACACCT